CCTCGCGCACGCGGCGGGAAGCCCCGACCGGCACTGCCGTCCCCTCCCCCCCCGTCTCTTCGGCGCACGTGCGCGTGCTCGCTCCGGAGCGTCCTCGGGCGCGGCGCTGGGGCGCGAGCGCCTTTCTGGTCTCCGGCCGTCCTCCGCCCCCCCCCCTTTTCGGTTCACGCCTGCGCGCTCCCGCCTGGGTATGGCGAACTTGAACGTGCGCGCGCCGAGAGACATCGTGGTGAGGGAGAAAGAGGGAGAGGCGGGCTTTCTGTGCCGATTCAAATACTTTTATTACTAAGGCTGCCAGCACCGCTCCCTCTCAGCTGCGGAGTCTTGTGAGCAAAAAATCCTACATTGTGAGCTCCTGGCATTAAAGTTGTGAGCCGGCGGTTTGGCTGCTGCATAAATTGGTTTGCTCTGGAGCCCCATCCTTCCTGAGCGGAGACAAAAATGTGTGCACCGGAGGCTAAAAAACTGAGCTCACTCACAGTGACTCAGCTTAGAGGGAACACTGGTTGCTACCAATGCTCCCTCTAAAATGTGGAGTCTTGTGAGCAAAAAATTCTCCTGGCATTAAAGTTGTGAGCCAGCGATTTGGCTACTGCATAAATTGGTTTGCTCTGGAGCCATCCTTCCTGAGCTAAGACGAAAATGTGGGAGCTGGAGGCTAACAAATCTGTGAGCTTGCTCACACTAACTCAGAGGGAACACTGGTTGCCAGCCTGAAATACAAAAACGGAGGGTCCCAGTGTTACGAAAATATGCAAAAGTATTTAGCACAGTGTATAATAGATGTATGCTTAAGGTAGATCGATTTTGTGCTTTTTTATTTTTCTCAACCGTTATATATATAAACATTGGTATCAGACATGATCCAAAACAGGTCTCACCCAAACAATACATCAAAGTGCAGGTTGACATTCTGTTCAAACATTCAGACAGCACCTTGTCAGTTTCTTTGATTGTGAAACTGACAAGGTGCTCTCTGATTATTTGCACAGGATGTAAACCTGCACTTTGATGTGTTGTTTGGGTGAAGAAGAAGAAGAAGAAGAGATTGGATTTATACCCCACCCTTCACTTGGAGTCTCAGAGCGGCTTACAAACTCCTCTCCCTTCCCCTCCCCACAACAGACACCCTGTGAGGTGGGTGGGGCTGAGAGAACTCTGACACAAACTGCTCTTTTTCAAGGACAGCTGTGCCAGAGCTTGTGACTGACCCAAGGTCACATCAGCAGGTGCAAGTGGAGGAGTGGGGAATCAAACCCGGTTCTCCCAGATTAGAGTCCACACACTTAACCACTACACTAAACTGGCTGTTTTTGATCATATCTGACACCAACATTTATATAATGATATTGAAAAACATTTAAAAACAAAATAAAAAGCACAAAATTGATCTACCTTAAACATACATCTATTATACACAGTGCTATATAATTTTGCATAGCCTCCAGGTGGGGCCTGGGGATCTTCCGCTTTTACAACTGATCCCCAGGAGACAGAGATCAGCTCCCCTGGAGAAAATGGCAGCTTTGAAGGGGGGGACTCTATGGCCTTGTACTATGCTGAGGACAACTATCTGCAGCTTTCTAGTTTTCTTCCTCTGCAGAAATCACTGGGGATAATAAAATAATACATTTCTAAAAAGCACATATAATCAGACTGAGGAAAGGTCAGTTCCTCAGTGCCCAGTTAATATCCAAATCTTCGGACTAGAGTCTGACTGGCCGTCCAACAGCAGATAGAGCTGGGTGTCCTCCACATATTGGTGACAACCCAGCCCATAGTTCCGGGCAATCTGGGCAAGGGGGTGCATATAGATGTTAAATAAGATCAGGGAAAGCACTGCTCCTTGGGGCACTCCGCAAACTAGTGGATGCCGTCAGGATAGCTGTTCCCCAATGGCCACCCTTTGTCCCCGACCTTGGAGGAACAAGGAGAGCCATTGCAAGGCAGACCCCTGAATCCCGGTGTCGGCGAGGCAGTGGGTCAATAGTTGGTAGTCGACTGGGTTGAATGCTGCCAACAGGTCTAACAACAGCAACACCGCCGAACCGCCCCCATCCAGATGCCTCCGGAGGTCGTCTGTGAGGGCGACCAGTACCGTCTCTGTGGCCTGATTGGAAGTCGGATTGGAAGGGGTCTAACATGGAGGTGTCATCCAAAAAACCCTGCAACTGAATTGCCACCACCCTCTCAATTAATTTGCCGAAGTAGGGCAAATTGGAAACCGGCCAATAGTTAGCCAATTCAGCCGGGTCCAAGGATGGTTTTTTCAAGAGAGGGTGGACCACTGCCTCCTTTAGTGCCCCAGGGAACAGTCCCTGTGTGTGCCATGGAGCGAGCTTAGAGCGGGGGTGCAGAGGGCGTCGGGGAGCAATCTCATCAGCGGCTTCCAAGAGTCGGCTATGCTAGTTCTCGACAAGCTCATCTAACGAGCTGCCAGGGGGCATTGGATCCCGTAGAGCCAGCTGGAACCGCATTGTGTCCATTTGTCTCCACAGGCGAGCTAAAATACGCTCGCCGCCCATACAGGGTTGGGCTGGAACATTCACGCGGCCTTCAGAAGGGGCCATTGCTCAGCCCACCCGTAAAAAAGTACCAAGTTCAGTTCTCTTAATATATCCAGTTAGTTAAAGAGCACCAGCTTTTGAGAAAGAAAAGCCATCCCACGAGGTTCCTGAAAGTCACTTCCGATTTGAATAGAAAGTACTGAGCTAGATGGATCAGGGGTCTAATGATAAATAACTGTCTTCATATATTAATTTAGACTTACAGTCCACCATAACTTTAGCACAGGGGTGGAAAGAAAAAGAATTTTAAATATCTGATGCCCAGATACTAAAGTGAAATATTTAGGAACCAGCATCAGTTTTCGGAACCAGTTTCGTAAAGGGATCGAAGGCAGGATATAGATCTTCTAAATAAAATAAAAACACAAAAGGCCTGAGAGCAGTCTGGCAGAGAGACTTCCTGCCCCATGAGGATTGCTGCAGGGAGTTCATGGTGAGACATTTGCACAACAGCCCAGAATCCTCC